GACTTGTTAAATGAACAATTAATCAACAAAAAAGAACATATGCAAGCAAGAAGAGGCATGAGAGAAAAAACTAACAAGTACTAGTTAGACGTAAATGAGAGTGGTGGACAGATGAATAGTCAAAATCAAAACATATAAAATTTCGGGTGATGTTTAGTATGTGAGTGAAAGAGTTTTGAGAGAGAGTTCAAACAAATAGAGTTTTAGGTGATGTCTTAACGAGAGGTGTGAGATGAACTATTATGTACACCACCAACATTATGGCTTGATAGCATGTTATAACATGACAAATTAATTATCTAAACTTTACTATTATAGCTAGTAGTACTTCTAGGTAAATCCCATGGATTCTAATCAAATTACCTTTCCAAGTTGTATTTATTGCTAAATTCAAATGACTAAATTAAGGAAAAATAGAGGGTTTCAATATTGAGTTTAAGTAAGCGAATAATTTAAAAGATGAAATCAAACAAGTATTAATCAAATAAGAAAGAATCCAGTCCAAGAGTAAACTTGACCTTCAAAATGTAAATTGATTATTAACGATACTTAAAAACATTATTCATGATTTACCATTTGGTCTATATTAACCTAAAAATAGAGATTAACTCGTTCTTCTTACTTAAACATCAAACATAAAAAACATGCAATTTGAATTATTATTATTGAACCATATAGATTAAGCTTTTTACATGCAATTTAATAATAACATTAACGAATTAAAGAACAACTAAAACAAATAATCAACATATAAGTTCAATTGCTTTAATCAGTACTCTTATCTCATAAACTTATAATGATATCAACATTAAAAATCAGTAAATTCTATTGCTACTTATGAAGAAGTTTCATAACTTTCATGTATTGTAAATTCTAATCTACCAATCATTCATTACTCACAATTATCTAGTAGATCTCTTAGCAACTAAGATTGAGGACATGATTTAATTAATTTGGAAGAATAAAAGATAATAAAGATGAATAGATTGTAAAATCAAATAAAAAAAGTCTCACAACTTGTTCTTCGACGTTACATTTCTCTCGAATCGAAAAACAAAAATAAAAAACTTTCCTTGTTAATCTACTATGTTCTAAATGTGCGGTTCTAGAGACTATTTATACATGTATATAGATAGATATAACAACCCACAAGTCTTAATTATTTAGAATTTTATCCAAAATTATTTAGGACTTGTAGATTAATAGGACTTTAGGTTTTGTGTTGTCACTCTTAAACTGATTTTGGATCATATGGCAGTTGATTTTGGTCTTGGTGTCTCATAAAAGTTGTAGGTGTGAATTTCGTAGGCTTTTGAATCATCTTAATTCAATATGTATATCTTTAAATGTAGTCAAACACTAATAAATGTTTCGGATCGTCACTCGGATCCGAATTTCGACCTAACTTTGCAATCGACTTTGACAAATCAAAATATAATGGATTTGTGTGTTTAAACTCAATTTGAAAAAATTAGGATTTCCACTCTAATTTTTAAGAATGCCTCTTTTTATTCCGAAGTTCTAAGAAGGTGAAATTTCCGCATCTTTCTTTAAAGGTCAATTTGTCAACGATGAAATTTCGCTCATATTAACACATTTTTGCTCTTTTATCTTCAATCATTTCCTAAATAACAAATAAACATTATTCAACATTTATAATCTAAAATCACATTAAAAAAAATAAATATAAAAGAATGAATATAATGAATAATGCTCACGATTTGTATTACTCGCACAACAAATGGATCCAAGCTACACAATAATATGAAACTCGTCCAACACAAGATTTTAAGTTGTGTAAGGATGGACAATGATATTTTAACATGATCGGTGTCCATTTCTATTTTTAAAATATATTAAGAATATTGATTTAGGAGGCTCGAAGTAGGGTATGCTAAATAAAATCTAATTGGTATTTTTTTTTACTAGTAAATTGAAACAGGATAACTAAAAAAAATCAATTGAAAAAAAAAATCAAATCTGACATTTTAAATTTAAAGATTTACCAAAATTGTGGTAGATGCATTCTGGATTGTGACTTGTTGCATTTGCAAGAATATGTATGAAACTTCAAAAAACGCGGGCGCATTCACCTGCATTGCGGTGTATTAATATTCGCTGACCCTTATGGCAGTATGATAAGGTGTTAATGGGAGTTAGGTGCCTCACCTAAAACTGAGGTGCTATGGCATCCCAAAATTTCCAAAATATTTCATAGCATTTTAAGAACTTTATGATATGTCTAAACAATTTAGTCCATGTGCTGCTACCGACTGTTGTCACTTTGATAATTTAATGATCTTTGCAGATTACAAATGTTAACAATATAAAACATTATGAGGGTCACTAGGCCTTCCTTCACTTGGTTGAAGTGATTGAACTTGGAATTCTGTTCATATAGTAGTTAATTTACTACTCTCTCCAGTCTCCATCTACAGGGAAAAAGTAAAGTTCCTAATCAGATTAAGTCACAGTGAGTCATGGTCGGCAAATAAAAGAGATGGTCCACATGGACAACAATGTATGGCATAGGTCAAGACTAAGTAGTAGAAAGGAACATAAATATTTAAATCGGTTATTATATAATAATTTGAGTTTCTAATCTATTTTTATATTTTTAATTATATTAATTATATTTTTTTAATAATATTTAATTATTCAATCTATTTTTTCAATTAATTTTTTCGATAATATTGAATAATTTGACAGAAATGCCTTCATTGAAAAAAAAATCTAAAAACCTAAAAAAAAAAAACATACAAATCGTGTGAATTTAAGTATTTTTTTTTTTGAATTTTAATGGATAGCATTTTGGTCAAAAAATAATTCATAGTATAAAAAAATTAATCGAAATGATATATTAAAAACTAAAATAATATTTAAAAATATAATAAATATAATTATAAATATAAATACATATTAGAAACTCAAACTATTACATAAAAATAAATTATCTAAAGCGCTTGTAATTCAGTGATAGTAATTTCTTACAACAAAAGATGATAAATTTAAATTCTAATATATTAGTTTTGTTAGAAACCTTGGATGTATAACATAAAAAAATAATAATAATAAATTATTTACTGTAAATGTTTGCGTACAAGTTGATAACGAGGGTTCGCAGCAATTGGTAAAACATATCTACACTTGTATAGTAATTAGTGCATGTATTAATTATTCGGTTCTAGCTAGCTACTGCCTGTCTATGTTACAAAGCCGTTAAATTTCTTCAACTAACTGGGTGAATATGTGTCATATCTCATTTTAAAATGACATGAATTTATCTATTTCTACCCAAAAAAAAATATTTTAAGAAGATTCATTTTTTAATATTTTGAGCTAAAATTTTTCACATATACTAATAAAAATTTAAAATTCTTATCAAATTAATTTCAAAAATTTTTAAGGTCAAGAACCATTTAATTTTTCTTAAATATTAACTATTAAAAAAATTGAAAAAAATGAAAAATAACTAGAAATGATCTCAAATTTTATTAAGAGGCCTAAAAAAATCATATAGTTTATTTATTTTTTGAATCTTAGTATGATTTTTAAAATATTTATACGGTTGAAAACATAAAATTTAACTAAATTTAAAATAAGTTAATTTTGAGAACCACATATATAAAAATTTTGAGAACTCGCACTCAAATTATCTACGTAAATGTATATAACCTCGTTATAGCTTTCAAAAAAAAAATTAAGGTAATTCTAGGTTATTTTTATTTTTATAATTTATCAAATTTTTATTGTTTTAAAAAATTAAATAAAAAACTTCCAAATTGAAAAAGGTAATTATTTGTAAAATTAGATTGAAATTTAATTAGCTTGTATTAAAATTGTTCAATTAAAGATACTAAAATTTGATTTTTTTTTTAAAAGTAGTTTTCATCAATACTTACACTCAAATCAGAATCATGAACAATATTTATCTAAAATATGATAGTTTAAAGTTAAAATTGACTAAATTAATAATATAAACCTTAATTTTCAACAGCCCTAATAATTTAGAGGGGAAAAATGCTATTAAACCATAAAATACACAACAACAAACCGAAGTTCACATCGCTATTATTATTATTATTTAATTAACCATGAAGTATTAATTTCTACATCAGGTTTTGCATATATATAGAATCAAATCAGACCATTCTCACAGTCAGCGATGCATCATTCCTAACATTTGATTAATTCTTTATACAATGCCTAATTAAAACAATCTTGCAATAATTTTATTTTCAATGCTAAACCAAAGCTAAATCATGGATTTGCATTTCTTATGTTTCCCGGATCATTTTTTCTCCACTGCAACACTTAATTAGCTGTTGTTAACCCACACTAGAAAATGAGAATTTATTTTGTTCAGATGGGTAGAGATCGTCGCATTAACGGCATTTCATTTACATAGAAGCACGCAAATATTAATAACCTATACTACAAAATACTACAAAAACATTGCAGATTAACGTTGAAAATTAACGACAGAAACAAAACTATAACTTTATAACAACGGTTTTGCGACATAATGGTGACCAATAAGTTTTGAATTTAATTAACTTAGAACAATTACTTAACTAAAATAAACTAATAACATAGAAAATAAATAAATGACTTTTGAATTTGCAATAAGATGCATTGATTTCATGAATGTGTGACTTGAATTCATTGCTTAAACATGGTTTCACTATTATGGATTGCCCATACAATTCAACGAAATATAGGTGAAAGGAAAAACCATGAAAAAAACGGGGAACTGTGCCAAGCAGCTTGCAACAAAAGAATTGTTGTAAAGAGATATTTAAATTTATATAATTTCCTTTATCTTATCAAATTCACAGTGCTATAATGATCAGGCTAGTTGAGACTTCAAACTTGAAGTAGCAGTAAGAAAAAGAAAAGCTGCCAATCTTTGGCTATTTAATTATATCCAATTTTGACAGGAAATATTTATGCATGTAGCGATCGACTTTGATCGAGCTTGAGCAAGAAGAGGGTCTTAATTAACCACTTGATCTGTTCCAAATTTCTTCAAGTTCCCTAGCAAAGGCCTTTTGTCTACGAACAACAATTGTAATATGATCTTCATTATCGATCACCTTAACTCGAGCACGAGGAATTTTTTGTTGAACATTGTAGCTACATTCAACTGGGATAAGTTCATCATTTTTCCCATGGAAGATGTTGACATCACATTTGAGGTGGTCACGGACTGAATCCAAGTACCCATCAAGCTTGCTGCCGGTGCCACAAATAATGTTGTGTAGGGTATGCCATGCAGCATTATGGGTGTGGCAAAAGAACCCCTCAATCAAGAATGTCTTGATCCTGTACATTTTGTTTTTTGTCAAAGTTTTGCATTGATGTCAGTCGGGAATAGTAGATAGATGTCTCTTTCATAATGCATGGAATAAATTCAAGAAGAGGTGGAAGAGAAACAAGATGAAAAAAAAAAAAAATCAAAATTATTTTTGGATCAAACACCTGTCCCCGTCGTTTGTGACTTCAGTCTGATGGACAAGTACTTGACCCATGTTTTAAGAGCAAATTCCAAACCGAACGATTCACCTACCATATGGTTACTACATATTTCCATCCTTATTTTGTTTTGAAGGATTTTGTTAACTCTTTACTGATTTGGTGCTTAAAACCAACCTCGTATAAAAATAAAAATAAAATTCACCAATTCCCCAAGTCCAAAAGAAGCTCCCACCCAAAATTAATAAATTTAGAAACCTGAAAGATTTAGAAGCCACAAAATTTACTACCATACTACATTATTGGGAACAAATTAGCATATTTGGATTTTTAAAATTTCCTATCAGCAAACTTTAAAAGGAGGAATCAACAATTGTCAAACCAAAATTTGCAAATTTCACCATATGAACTAGTGTAGGTGGCCTACCAAATCCTTCATCAGCACTATAAGTTTAGCCCTCTTTGGAACGACCACCAATGCCATAAAACAGTCAATGATTAAAAAAAAAAAAAAAAACTTATGGGTCTAAGTCCTCTATTCTTTTTTAAAAGCTGGTGGACACCTATACTGTGATCTGTCAGTGATCTCAACCATAAAACCTGCAGGCAGGCAAGCAACTGTTTCAATTTAAATGCTATAATTGTCAACTGTGTTGTGTTACTGCACCGTGGCCCCGGCTTTTAATAGGGCTCCAGAACTTGGATTGAGGCCATCTGTGAAGTACGACTAGCTAGTTAATGAAAGAAATGTCCTCGTACATCACCTATGGTGTTGGTACCAACCATGAACGTTACGCATAGGCTAATGATTTAAGGGCTTGAAGTGCTTAAAATATAAGGAGCAATATTGGTAATGCCATTATTATCCCAGAATTCACCCAGTAAAACAGAGACATTTTAGGGATTTATCCTGCCATCCCCCAACCCCACTGCCAGAAGAAAAAAAAAAAAAAAGGGGGTATGTGAATGTCGTTGTGTGTCTGGGAATTGACTGGCTTGTGCAATGCCAGGTGTCAGGTGTGACTCATTTCCTGCTAGTTATTCTATATTTTAAAAGTCTATTAATATTTGGTCCAAAATTACTGAGATGTTTCGTGTAGCTTAAATCCTGAAGAAAAAGAGGTCAGAATTAAATCCAAATTCTTCTTTTAAGTAAACGCCTTTTCTTTTGGGCAAGAAAAGGAAATTAAGAACATATAATATAATATTGGGTTTGGTGGGTAGTTATGAAATGTAGCACAAAAACATGAATTTTAATGCATTTATTATGAACAAAATGAGAAGCTTGAATGTTTGAATTTTATTAGGGAACTTGAATTCTTAGGACAGGTTTAGGGTAGCAGGGGTTTGATGAGAATTTACCTGTTTCTTGTGACTAGTTTGGTAAGAAACTCCCACAACCGATGATTTTTGCATATGACAAGGCAAATTGCCCTGGTGATGTGCTCATACCAGCACGCAATTGATGCACCAAACGTAATAAGTGGCCAAACACGCCTTGGAGCTACTTGTCTCATCACATGTTGTGCTGCTAATGCACCTTTTGGTACTTTGTAATATGGCTGCCATGTATAAAATAATCACAAAAATTATTTTGTAAATGATTAAAATTTTTGAACGATTGTGATTTCTTTGAATAACAAAACAATATTTTAAAAAATAAAAATAAAAATGAACTTACTGGTGCAAGGAGGGTTAGGGACTTCACTGAGCCAGGGTGTTTTACGGCAAGTGCTAGGGCCAAAATACAACCTAAAGAATGAGCAACAATGTGGAAGGATTTAACTTTGTATTGTTCAAGAACGGATTGTTCAATCATTTCCAGATGCTCTCTTAGCGTGTAAAGGGAGTCCGCTGGCTTAGGGCTCCTCCCAAACCCTAAGAGATCGATGGCAAATAATCGGTAGGTTGATTGAGCTGCATTTGAGAAGTTTGGAAATAATGTTTCTGTCCAAAATGCTGAAGATGAAATGAATCCATGAATGAAGAGGACATCTTCTTTTGCCTTATCTGATCACACATTACAAACCCACAATTAATTTCAAGGACTTAGTTAATTATGACACAATGACGCTGGAATTATAATAAACGAATAGTTAGTACATATATGCTACCAATTAAGTACTTATTTTTTATTTATTTAATTACCTTTAGGTCCTTCAGCTCTAACGAAGAGGGTTTCTTTGCTAGAAGAGGTCCAAGAAGTGCAAAATTTGCAATCACAATCAGACCATCTTGAAATGGGATGTAAGTGCTGGCCTCCAATCTTCCCTTGAAGCATTGCAACAATGGTAGAGTTAACAGTGAATGTGGATCTCATAGTTCCTTTCTTGATCTTCTGGGATGATTGTACGGTGACAGTACTAGACTTATCCTCCACCTTGATTCGCTTGAGCTCATTAACCGTTGATTTTGAAATCTCAGACACCAATGAAGGACGAGTGTAAAGTGTGTCTGAGATCTCTTCTAACCCTAACTTAGTAGAAGTAAGACAAACAATCTTGGACTCACCTTGTTCAGAGACCAAGATCTTGCCACTACTAGTGATGGCTTCTTTAGCTGAGGTACAATAACAAGGTTTCCATTCTGCTTCAATGACGAAATCTACAGCTTTGAATGCAAAACATAGAATGAGATCAAGGATGTCCAGAAAAGAGAAGACAATGAAGCTCACAGCATCGTGCAAAACCCTGCCGGTTAATGTTAAAACCATTATGGTTTTTCCCATTACAGCCATTTCACTAAAAAGCATCACTGCCCACTGAAAATGGTTGATTAGACCCCAAAGAGACAGATACAAGGACGTGTAGAAGAAAGAAATAATGAGATGTAGCTAGCTATGAGAGGAAAATTTTAAGGAAATCATTTGCTCCCAATAGATTCAAAATGCCAACGAAAGCACAAATGCCTCTTCTTAGTTGTGATTTCTTGATTTAGAGTTCTTGAAAATGGTTGTGGAAACAATGTTGCCCTACCTTGTTGACCACTCCCAAAATGTGCCTCACTTGATGAAAGCGTGAGGGATTTATTAATTCTCTACCTTCTTAAAACTTATTGGGGAGAGAGAGAGAGAGAGAGAAACACACATTGTTACAGATAGGAGATAAATGAATTGATTGTTTCATTAAACATCGTTTGTTGGCCAAGGAAAAAAGGTAGGTGGTAGTTGAACCTCCCCTGCAGGAGAAGAAACAATTCTTCTTAGCAAATATTAAGACTACATTTAAGTTTCTTTGCCTTGCCCCTTCTTCAAATGAGAGGAGGAAAAAAAATCTATTATTTTATACCAATAGTTAAACACACAAATCTTTTCCTCGATTAATAAAAAATTTGAAGTAAAAAGAAGAATTTTTCGTATAGAAGAAAAGATCTCTTTCTTGCTCTTGAGAAATACTACTATAGCTGGGTCACTTTTTTCTCATCCACCATGTTACAACTCATCCCTTGTTACTCCTGATCAGAAATATGTGCCTAACACATTAATGTAAGGATTATTTTTCAAAATTGAACAGCTCTCTCCGAACCTCTTGTATTAATTGCAAGCTGTCTTCCCCACATGACTTCCATCCTCTGAGGTAGTACAAATTATTATGACCCTCGCCACCGTCCTAACTCCTGAGATGATCTTATAAATGATAAAATCCTTTGCTTAATTGATCAATATGTAGAGGGCTTGAAGGATAAAATTGGGAAGATGAAAGCATGCATCCTAATTCTAATAAAACGCTACTTTTAATGTTATTTGATTAGAACCAATTTAATTATGTGTTCAATCGAGACTAATATACTATCTAGTAATAATACTTTGTGCCAGCAAACTATATATATACCCACAAACTAACTTAACATTGGACCGCGTGACAAATTACTTTCACCTTCGTGTTTGGAGGAGAGCTCATGAGTATCTCTTTGCTGAGAAAAAGGAAGGAAATAAATGATAGGCAACCAATTTTTGGAACCCAAAAAAAAAAAAAAAGTGAACTAGTCAATTAATTTGTGCCAAGTATAATTAATTATCAACCATATTTTATACGTTTAATATTTATCAGCCTCCAAACGACCAGCTTGAGTAATGTCTGTTGGTACCGCCCGTCCTCAATCACTCATATGGTGACATTAATTTATATGATTCGTGTCCTTAATTAAGTGCAATCATATGTAGTATATCATAGGAGGAAATCACTAAATTTTTAAGGAAGTGGAACAAGTTTGTTTGTTTGTTTTTTTGTTTTTTTGTTTTTTTTTTTCACGTTCAACATCAGATTAAAGATAAAAAGAGTAAATTATAAATTAGTCCTTTTTTTGAGAAAATTAATTTCCTAATTTTAAAAATTAATTAATTAGTCCTTTTTGCTATTTTGTAATTTATTGTTTTAAGAAATAGAGAATAATAAATAAAGTTATAAAAAAAGATATTTTATAAAATAAAAAAACATTAAATTAGTCATTGATTGAAAAATTAAAAAAATTAGTTTTTGAAATTAAAATAAATTAATTTGTTTCTCAAAAAACAAGAGGAACTAATTTATAATTTAGTCAAGATGAAAAGGAAGAACTACAGTAGGCTGGTCTACAGAGCCTAATGATACTGAGAACAGAGAGGAGGAGATCGGGTGCTTTTCTTGAAGCGGAGGAGGTCACATGGCGACGGTCTTTTGCATTATGGTTGAAGGAGACAGATGGAAACAGAATTTTTGTTTTTTCTTTTCTTTTCTTCTTTTTTTTTTTCCACAAAAAAAAACGTCAGCTAGAGAAACAAACATAACATAATTGTGGGACATTCAGATGAAGATGGCTGGTGGTACCCTTCTCAAGAAGAGATTAAGAATATAGCAGTGAGGTATTTTCAGAATATTAATTTTTACGGCTTTATATTAATTTGGTAGTCGAGGCTATCGAACCGTGTATTACTTCGGAGATGAATGTAAACCTTTTTTGAGAATTCACTGAACTGGAAATCCAATTAACTCTCTCTCATATGCATTTTTTTTTTTTTTTAAAGTTCCGTAAGATAAATTAAATACATTTAAGAATATAATTATAATAGAAATTGATAGGATAGGTATCTGTATAATTATTTCAAGAAAGATGATATTGTCAAAAAAGTCTTCTAGACTTCGCCGGTATTTTGGATTTTTTATGTGTTGATAAATGACATAAGAATTTATGTAATATTTATATAATTAGACTAGATTGGAAATTCCTTTTTAAACCTTAATTTATACTTTCATCCAATATAAATGTGTCTATTCCACCATCGGAGTCCAATGTGCTATAAGTTTTTAATTGTCATTTATAGATTTTATTTAAAATAAATATATAATAAAAATAAGTATTGATTTAGAATAAGACATGATACATGCATTACACTAAGAGATATATCTCACATTCTTGCTGCTTGAAAAGTGAAAAATTCCTTATAAAATTTAAAATAATTAGTAAATAAAAACATCCATATTTAGATAAAAAAGGCAAAATATGAATCATACTTATCATACTTTACAACCAAATATTTCCTTTCATGCATTACAATATATAGCATTTTCAAAATAAGCACTTAATGAAAATATAAATTTTTATAAATAAACTTTCAACAAATCATTCATTATCAAATTTATATACCCCAACGAGATATAGAAAATAATACTTTATGTGGATAAAAATCACATCAATCTATAAGAATAAAATAAAAAATATCTAGACAATCAATAAAAAAATGAAATCAAATATCAAAGGAGTTAGCAAACACATAAGATCCACATGATCAATATACTATTTGCTAGCAATGCTTTAGCCATGGGATTTACAATCACTAGCTTAGTGTTAATATGCTCAATGAGCTCTTTATGTTCTTTCACTTTCTCTTTCATAATGAGATATTTTATGTTAATATGCTTGTTTTGACATTCACTTTTATTATTTTTTGAGAAGAAAATTGCAACCGAATTATCAAAAGAACACTACAAAAAAAAAATCATTTAGAACCGTTGCTAAATGTTATATAATCGTCGCTAAATTAAATTATCGATAGTTTTCAACTCGTAAAAAACCATCATGAAAAACCTTTTCGCTAAATAATTAGTGACGATTTTTGTTAATCTGTCGTAAAATTAGCGATGGATAAGCGATCGCTATTACCAAAATAAACCATTGCTAAATAATTGGAAAAAGGTCATAAATTTAGTGATGGTTTTTAAAATCCATAGCTATATTTGTGATCTGTTTACAAAAACAATTGCTAATTATGGCCAAATTTAAGGACAGATTTAGCGATGGTTTTAAACCATTGCCGGATCATTTTATTTTATTTATTTTAATTTAGTTTTGACATTTTTAGTTAATTATTTCATGTTCATAGGTCGTTAATAAGAAATATAAAATTTAACAACTAAAATAACGATATAAAATTGATTTATAAATAATATAAAGCCTTTTATATTATATAAATTCTAATCCAATCAAATATATATTCAAACACCAAATTATATTAAATTGTAGTAATATTCTAGTAAATAAAAATATAAGAATGATAAAAAAAATATATTGTGATGACGGGGATACATGTTATGACAAATCAACATTTTCATTCGATGCTTCGATGGTAAGTTGAGGGATTGGTCGGTGAATTACCTTTTTGTATATTCGGTAGTATTCGTCGCATCATCGCATACCGCTCCTAATTATGCTCGCTCGACCACTTTTGTCTTTGTAGGAGGGATGTAACGAGTACCTTTAAGGTCTTTGATCTCTTCTTCACGTCTAGCATTCTTGGCCTCCATTTTCTTTCGAGACTCGCTCATCGATATGGACCCGCAATGTAGTCGAACTAGAGGATGAACCGACATTAGAGTAATAATGAGAGGGCCGTGACCTAAGTCCGTACATCCTCTTTCTCTAACTATCTCCTCCTCCAATGACCCTTTTAAATATCTCATTCATGTCGATATTGAGTGATGAAGTACCCTTCGTCCCTCGCCTAGCAACCTTCTCCTCAAATATTTTATCAATGGTGTATTACATAATTGAACAAATTTTAATATTAAATAATAATCTCAAGAAATTACATAAAAGTGACATACGTATGAAATAAGTTTATAAATTACTTATCTTAAGTTTTTTGCTTGTTGATTGATGAATACATACTTATCATCAACCTTATTCCCATAAGACTTCAAGAACATTTCATGAGCATCGGGTTCATGACTCAACTCCTTACGCCGAAACGGATATATATATATATATATATATATATATATATATATATATATATATATATATATATATATATATATTGATGTTACAATAATTACAAATAAAAAATTATTTATAAAAATGTATATATAATAGGATTTACCATACGTATTTTGTTATCCCCGTAGGTGATCGAACCCTCGTATATCTAGATGGGCTAGCATCGATGCCATCCGTCTCATTCAAGTGGTTCCAAACCGCCTCGCTCGGATCGAGTATAAGACTCAAGTTTTGCCCATTCCTTCGCCATGCATCCCATATATCTTGTGAGATATATGCTAGTTTGGGATGTCTCTTCACTTGATAAAGGAAGTTAAAATATCATTTTTATGCGAGACTCTACCATGCTTTCTTAATGCTTCAATCAAACTCCCGGTCCTACATAAAGAAATTCTATAAGAATGTTAAAAATATTCATTAGTACATTTAAATGAGCATTAATGATTTTTAATTTAAATGTACTATCACATAAAAAATTAAAATACA